TGGGTTGCTGACAAAAAACTGTATATAGTATGTATAACTGTGTGTACCAGAGCATAAAGCAATGCACACCAATGGAACTTTGAACATGTCGTAGTTCTGAATTCCAGATTAGATTCACCTTAAAGGGACATTTTAACAATGTTTGCTCAGCAGTATCAATCAGGTTAATACTATATTTCCCATTCGGGAAATTCAAGCTAATAAGCTTTACTAAGTTAGTAAATTTCTTTACTTATTGGATATTTATAAAACAACTAGTGACCTACTACTTAATTAGAATAAAAGCAGTTATAAACCAAATGATTTAATATACTTAAAAAATACACGCACCCAAAGATTTAAACAATCTCTTGACCCTTGGGTCTACAGTCTCTTGCAAAAGAGCTCAGACCTTGTCTATCATGAAATTTCAAAATAACGCATTCACATTTTTAAACTTAATATTTCATTCAAAATCTGATTGGTGAAGTTAGAGTAAATGTCTGCAAAAAATAAGACAAAAACTAGTATTCAGATTCATGAACTCAATATCTGGTGGAACCACCTTTGGCAGCAATTACAGCCTCAGGTCTTTATAAATCTTCGTACCAGTTTAGTACAGTTTTTGCTTGCTCTGTCTGACAGAATTTCTAAATCTCTCTCAAGTTTTCAAGTCTTTTCACAAATTCTCAATAGGATTCAAATCAGAATTTGTTGGTTTCTGAAGGACATTTTCTTTCTTATTCTTCAGATGCTATATTGTAATTTTAGCCTTGTGGCCTTGTGCTTGAGATCATGCTGAAAGGTGAATTGTTGTCCCAGTTTCAGGTTTGAAGCAGGTTTTCCTCTAAGATTTGCCAGCACTTTGCTCCATCTATGTTCCCATCAGTCTTAACAAGCTCCCCCGTCTCCACTGATGTGAAGCAGAACTATAACATACTGCTGCAGCCATCATGCTTGACAGAGTGATACACTATGTTGGGTTTGTTTCAGATGTAATATTTTGCATTTAGATGCAGTTTTATCTTATCTGACCGCAAAACCTTTAACCACATGTTTGCAGTATCACGTAGGTGCTTTGTTGCAAGCCCTAGGGGGAATTTGAGATGTTTCATTTTAGATCCATGCAAGTCCCTTTGTGGAATATTAAAACATGGAGCTTTTTTTCTATCTCCTCAGCTATAGAACTCTGTAAACTTTTGAAAGTTGGCCTCACAGTCACATCTCTTACCAGTCTCCTCACCCAGATGCTCAGGTTGGAGGGACAACTTGATGTAGTTCGTTAAACTTCGTAGTGATCAGCTCTGTTCAAAAAGACGCTAAGGGTCTTTAAAATGTTTTTATACTCTTCTGATCTGTGCCTCTATACGACTTTATCCCCGAGTTGTTTTGAAGTCCCTTGGTCTTTATTGTTACTTGAAATTTGTTATCTGACTGAGGAACCTTACAGAGATGTATTCTGTGTATTTACTCTGAAATCATTTGAACCACTATTATTGGTCACAGGCAGAGTCCACTCTGCTAATTGTTTGTCTCATTAAGGCAATTATATGCACCCTAATTAATTTAGGGATGCTACAGCAAAAGGCTTGAATACTTATGCAATCATGAATTTTCTATTTTTTCTTTCATAGTACTTACATCTTTCTTTTTGCTTTGAATGTGTAGAGTAGGTAATATATAATATTAATGGCTCCTTCAAAATATCATAAGTACAATTTTTACAGCAACACAATGTGAAAACTGTGCAGGATGTAGGAATGTAGGAAAACGGAAAAGAATATGGTCTGGCAAAGGAAGCTCAGCTGCAGAGTGAAAATGAATTTGTGTGGCTTTCTTTACGAGGTACAGATGTTCAAACCAAACATCGTTTGTGTTTCTGGAGAGTAATTGCTTTTATTATTTCTAGTTTGTTGCTCTTTGTCTTTCTGAAGTCATTTCAGGCCTTCATTGATATATTAGTTTATGAGAAACTAAATGTGGAAAAAAAGGATAAAACACTGTTCTTATTAAAATGTTTTTTTTACTGTAAATATAAAAGGTTTTAAAACTGTACACAATTCTCAAAAGATTGAACAAAAAAACATTTCATTTTACAGCTGGCAGAACAAATTAAGTTGGAATTACTTTAAATTCACATTTATGGTCCACCTCTAAGTGTTACAAGTATGCAAGATTGTTAATGATTTTGCAGTCTTGGATGAAACAAAAAGCTTATCACGTAATAATGCTACATATAACTCACAAAGATCTATAGTATTCACACTATATTATACAGAAGTACATTGCTGTCATCAACGGAAAAAAATAATCTCTTGTAATTACAAGATAACAATGATCATTTGAGTTTATGAACATCCTATCACATTGTGCAATGACAGCAACTAAAAGCTACTTACAGGCCAGCTGGAACTGTGGGTTTAGTGTTCGTGACAGTGTCCAGCACTGCAGAATCTGCACAGACTTATTTTCCACTGGGGTTAAGTCATGATGAAACGTTACAATTTTTAGCAAATGTGAATACACTCATGAGCATGAAGACATTCAGACTTATCCTTAAACAAGAAAGACTGTACCATGCAATCGATTCCACAGGTTGAAACTGAAATCCAAGTTATAGTAATGTAGGTGTTGTATGACAGTTGTGCTAGGTCATGATTATTACATAAAGTACACAATAATTTGCTATCTTGTAATGGCAACGTAATTTTCACGCAAGTACAAGATACACATGATTGTTTTTTTCTTGATGGCAGCAATGTCCTTTTGTTAAATTGGAAGACATGGTTAGAAAAAATCCTAACATTTACAAATATATACATTACATTTCTAGAGAACATCCGTTCTGAATCTCCATTTAGCAATCAGTACCACAAGTCTCCACAGGCTCTAGTTTATGCACTCTTTATGAAAGATAGTAAAACCTATCCAAGTTACGCCGGCTATAAAAGAATTCAGTTTGTAATCCTTCTTGAGACGCAGAATTGTTTTTACTGCGCTTGTCAGAGTAGCAGAAAAGCCCCTGTTGTGGCAGCCACAGCACACAGTCTGTCAGTCAGCACGAGCCACAAGGCAGGTGACGTTTCTAACCTCACGCCCATCTCTGTCTTCACCGCCCCACTACCCCTCTCCTCCCCGGTTATACGGTAATCGGTAGATTTTCCCTAAAGCAGGATCGCTGAGCGCCGTTGTAGCTGCAGAGGTCTTGGAATATGCGGGCCATCTGGTCGCTCTGCGTTTCGTCACAGATCTCCAGGCCCCCACTGCTGTAGGCGGACTTCCTGGCGTTGACCGTTTCCAGGAGCTGCTGGCAGTTCATCTGAGTGATCTGTACAGGGGCAGATTGGCACCAGTTCAGAGTTGCAGAAAAAAAATGCACAGTGCAAACAAATGGAAGAGAATCCCGCAAAAAGTGTTTTCCTACCATCCCACTGAGATACTCTCAGTAGGTCTGTGCACTGAGGTGTAGAAATCGTACTTTTACAAATTTTATAGAAGTGCAACTTTACAAAACTGGCACAACACAAAGATCTTGATTTACACTGCAGGCAAACTGCCCACTCCCTTTAAGTGAGACATGCAGTTTGCCTGCAGTTTACTACTAGAAGACAATTAAACTGTCTGTTGAACTCCTCTATGGGTCTGGATGACAACTGTAAATCGCCTATTGTTGAGATAAGCAACTTATCATAATTCACATAAGCAGTTTTTAAAGGGCATGCCGATTGTCTTTCCACACAACTGGACCTGAGAATCTTGGCCTCTTCCTTACCTGCACGATTATTAACTTGTATTTGGCAGAGTTGGTGTCAGGAAACTCCTCGCCGAAACACAGGGTCACTGTGGGGTCTGGAGCTGAGCACTGGCCCTCCTGATAAAGCTGCAAAGCTGGAAAAGAAAACAAAATTCGGGCTAAGGACAACATTCCCTGTGGAATCGGAAGTGATTGTTTAAAAAAAAACATCGCGCGGCGATGGTTCAAAGGGGCATCTTCCCTTCCCGTGCCGGCGGGGTTCGCTCACCTGCCAGGAAGCGCGCCGTGTCGAAGATCCTCACCACGGCGTCGCGCTCCAGCTTGCTGGGGGAGCTGCCGTACGGGGAGCACTGGCCGTTCCAGAAGACGCGGCTCTGGCACAGCCTCTTGATGAAGATGCCCTCGCGGTTGGAGCGCACCAGCACCCCGCGCTCCAGGTGGCCGAAGAGCTTCCTGGTGACGTGGCGCTGCCGCTCGTTCTCGATCAGCTCCACCGGGGGGAAGCGGATGTTCTGGAGGCTGTCGGGGCCGTACAGCAGCTCGTTGGAGACGGGAGGCTGGAACAGGGCTATCCGGCAGCCCTCGGTGTGGGTGGTCAGCGTGTTCCCCACCATCTTCCCCCCGTAGTAGAAGGCTATCATCATCTGAGAGAAGGCTGCAGGGGGCGAAGAGGGCGTTTACCCAGTGTCCCACATTGCCAGCCACTAGCACGGCAGAAGGCGTTTCCACGTTTCCTTCAGTTTTCTAACCGCTTCTTCTAATTCAGACGGTCCTTGCCTATCCCAGCAAGCAACAGGCACAGGGCAGGGTACACCGGTCAGGACGCCTGTCCGTCGCAGGGCACACCGACACAAACACACTCACGCCAGGGCCAGTTTTCTCAGAAGCCATGTAGCCTACTAGTACGTGTTTGGACTGTGGGAGGAAACCGGAGCATCCGGAGGAAACCCCCGGGAACATGGGAAGAAGATAGAAACTCCACGCAGGCAGCAACCCAGGAATTAAACCCAGGGCTCCAGCTCTGCAGGGCAGCCATGCTAAAACACTGCACTACTGTGCCACCCTCAAAAATAAATATAGAGGCCAAAAATGTGTTTTCAAGTTTTTCCACTACCGTTGAGAATTACTGTTGAACACGTTGTTCACTTGTAGCAGTGTCTGAGTATTTACTAATGAAAGCCAATAAACATGTGATTAACTAGTGTTCTAGATCACAGCTTCAACATTTATCAACACAGTGTGCACAGAATGTCTTCTGGATTAAGAATAAATACATTAAAAGCAGTCAAAAAGTAACAGTACCTGCATTAAAATGTCCGGCTGGTGGGGCATCAGGAATGGTTGGGACGGCTGTGAATATTCAAAAAAAAAAATTGATTTGTATCATTAACAAAACAACAATGTAAAGTAATGTGGCACAGCTAATTCGGCAAATATTTTGAATGTCTACACCATATAACAAACAGATCTCAACTGGTAAATGCAAACATTTTTCTGTCAGTTCAACAGAAAATAAAGCTTCTCCAGCACCAATGTCCCAACTGAGAGGACACCTCAGTCAGCAAAGATATAAAGGAAATTAGCCAATCAGACTTCACAGCAGGCACTGGGGCTCTCAGTTCTATTTTAGCCCTTGCCAGAGGACACTCATGCTTTGACTGTATGTTTCTATCAACCAGGCCAGACTTAATCGTTTGTGTATAAATGAATATAATATGATAACACACAGTCAATTTAAATCATACTATAAGAAAACTTCCAAAGCTATGAAGTATTCCAGAAAGGTGACTTTGATGTTATAGGAAATAATGTTAAAAAATGAGAGAAGTGGAGAGAGGAGTGAGATAGTTATCTAATTTGTGTGCTTACGGCTCAGATGGGCGGGAGACCACCATTCCTGTGTGGCTTGAGTCCTGCAGGTTTCCTGCGGAGGGGAGTGGCTTCTCTTGATAATACCAAGGTACTCATCTGTAGAAGACTGCACACATAAACAGTCCTTAAAGGGAGGTGTCAGATACACAGAACTAGTTTAGAACTTGTCCTAGCTTACTGAGGATCTGAATAGGAGATTTAAAGAACCAATAGCTTCTTCACCTGAAGCTTTTGCTTGAAATTATCTCCTATTTCTACCCAGTTTGTATTAAAATAAGTGCAATGGTAACTTCCAGGCAGTCTTGAGCTCTGCTCACAACAATGCTGAAGACACACATCTTCAAGACTACAAAACACATACTTACTTCCTTTATGAGCTCTTCAATTTCCGACGGACTGCACTCCATGTCTGTCACTTCACTGGGAGTGCTCCCACTCATAGCTGCGGACATTTTACCTGTTTTCAACAAGGAACAGCCTGTAATTATAAGCTTTTGTACATGTACAGTACCATCACTTCTTCTTGCATTTAACACTGTTAAAACCACCTACTGCCTAGTGCAATAAACTTGTAAGTCTTGCTTTATGGTTCACATCTAACATTTAAAAACTATTATTTGACATTAAAATAATTAAAATCGCATTCAGACCAGCGGGAAAGATACTTAATAGGTAACCTTTGATTAAATGTTACAATTCTTTCACGAAACATGTCTTAGGCTGACAATGCAGCCAACTGCATTGGGAATGTGATATCATTGAGTTGGTCTTTCTGCTGGAAGGACTTCTTCTTAATAATCAAACAATATCCAACAATAAAATACTTGCATTTCTGTTCTTCCTCTGGAACTATTCGGTAGACCTTGTAAGGTTCAGATATGTCCAGCTGGGACCTGTCTGTGACTTCTTCAAAGTCCGGGCTTTTGTTCAAGGCACAGCGAAGTCTCGTCTTCCAGGTAGCTGGCTCTGCTTTGTCTCCTTCTTTGAACTTCCCCTTGAACACGGCCCACGCCTGCAGGGACGAGACAGAGTCAGGCCCACTCACATGTAACAACACAGGGGTCAAGAACCGAGGCACTGCTCCTCCGCTCTAACAGATCTGTGAAGAGCTGCGTCTCACGGAGGTTGTATAGTGCTTCCCCTGTGGTAAACGTACTTGTCTTGAGTAATTTCAGAATGACATTTTAGCTCTTTCAATTCAAGAATAAACAACTGCACTGTAATTTCATTCTTATAGGCTAAAAAAACAACTTCTGGACTAGAATGCGATTCATTACAATCTACTCACAGAAACCGCAAAAGAACGAATAAATGAAGTGCAAAAGGCTTTAAAGTCATTTATCCTACTGTAAAAGTGGCCTAAACACCAATTCTTAGCAAGTACTTTTAAGCGAATGATGGTCATTGATTGTTTTATCATCTGCTTTGATCCTGTTCACAGTAAAATTATCGGTCTCTAAATATACAGAAACTGCTGAACATTGAAAGACAAATGATTTAAAACTCCCTTTTCCAGGTTTAACCGATTCTAAATCAAGGCATTTCACTGCAGATGTTTTCTTATTCTGTTCAACTCTGTACTGAAAAGTGCGAGGTTGTATTTTCGTGAAATCCACCCACTTTAGTAAGAAAAGGCCAAGCAATTGACATTTATGGCTTTTTAGAAATGTCACCACTGAATGTCATTGAGGTGGCTTGACTTCATGAAGTATTTATGTGGGAAGGTGTTATAAAAAAGAGTGAGCCTCTGAAACTTCACAGCCAGCTCAAGCCTTCCATCCCCAGAATCTCCAAAGTGACGCGTTCCGTGGAGGTGACATACTTTAAAAATGGAAGCATCGATCTCCTGGTTGTAATCCTGTTTCCCAGCGTGTTTCCAGGGGATTCGGAACATGCTCCTCTCTTCGTTCTCCCACAGCAGGCCAGGGTACAGACCGCTTTCAATCTGCTCAATCAGCCACTGCCTCAGCCTGCGGCCACCTGGGTTCCTGTCAGTCATCCTTCGGCTAGAAAGAATTGTAGAGCTGGGTGTGAAAACTGTGAAAATAAGTGACTGTTACACATCAGCTCTTCCTGTTACACCCTTGGCACTCTCGGTGTGCACCAGCTATCAAGCTGTTTTCTGCACACCTGCTAGAGTCCACTCACTGAGCCCCGAACAATGAAGGCAGCATAGTATATTAAAATAATCCTTATTTTGTACAGTTCCTTTACTGTCCTTCTTATAACTGTGTAAAGCTGGGACCTGTAAAATTAATTAACTACAGTAGATCAGTGCTGCTATAAAATCAAATAAACCACATTCGAGGTAGAGTATTTAGCTGCAGAACTGCTTTGAAACGGAAGATATTCCTGTATTGCTGCAAATGATCAGTCAGCATAAATGCACGCGTTTTGCATAGAGAACGTTCCCACCTCCAAAAAAGCATTTCTAGATCAAAATAAGCATGAACAATAGTGATTTTTATTAAATGCAATATTTAAGTTATTTATAAACTACTTAACCTTATATTTCCAATTATTCAATATTAAGAACTATAAATTAAAACATTGTAATATTTGAAGTAATCAATAATACGCAAAGTAACGTCAATATATTTTTTCAAATATATTATTATATTGTTTAAATGCTTCAAAAGATGCGTCTGCGACAACAGCAGATGCAAACAGAACGGGCCGTCAGTGTCCAGTTTATTAAACTGCACTTTATCCGTGTGCAGGGAGTATTGGACACATGTCCTTCAAAGAGCGAAACTCGGTACGCGCTGGAGTCGCACAGAAATCATTCTTCGGCACTAGCGTTAAGGGTCGCACAGGTAGCAAGAGACGAGACTAAACCACACAAAACTGACTAAACCCTATTATATAAATTATACTGCGACAGCGCTGTAGCTCGTGTTCACCTGCAGCAGGCGGTTTATCTGCCTCCAAACCAACAGCAGCCAGTATATTACCGACCCGAATGAAAACGTAGAAGGTGCCTTAAAATATTGTCTCCTTAAATAATCCCTTTATGCGAACACTGGCCGGTTAGAATTTTATTTTTGGAATACAATCTCCCCGGATAAACCACGTGTAGTAGTAAAAGTTACAGATCAGGTGAGGAAAGGAATTAATTAACTGAGGCTATATAACTATTCAGCAGGTAATCCTTTCGAATGGCTCACACCACGACTCGGACGTCCTCCAGCCTGTGAAAGAGAAGAAAGGGTTTACCTGCTTGTGCTGTCTTGGTCGAGGCGCTGCGCACAGCTTTATCGATGCAAGTGATCACCAGAGAGCTGCGCCCATCTGTTTATAGATTTCATTCAGAAGGCCAGGCCGTCGGCTCCGCGCACGGCGATTGGCCGGGGGGGCTGACAGCGGGCCAATCAGAGCGCTCGCCGGGCTGGCCGCGGGCCAACCAGAACCGCGGGGGCCGGGCCTCTTCTTCTAAGCAGAACTTTTCCGAGAAGTCAGATGAGAGCCAATATCCTCCCGTACTACCCCCGGTCTGAGAGAAGACATGCCGAAGAACAATGTGCAGAAATGCCCTCGTTGGATTGCGGGGCTTGACTGCATGTTTTTTTTGGCCATGCATTCCCTTGGGGGAGGGGGGGCAGGGTCTTAGATGCGAGATGTTTCCGATTTGTAAAAGCTGTCTCCTTGCATGAAGGGGATTTCTGGGCCGGAGACCGGAATGTGATGTCTAGTGGAAGTCCCCCTAGAATCTGATGCCATCTTGTGTTCCAACATTTTTTTTCTTTCTGCGTAACCGAGTTGATGTCCGGGATTACCCGCACTTGCGACCGTATTGCGGCTGAGCTGTTCAAGCGAGTAATATTTTCTTCCCATGGAAAACTGAAACGTCATAAAGAACATAGTACTGCAGTCTGTACGTTGCACAGTCTGTGCGCGGTGATGGTGGAGATGGTTAATTCCAATGAGTTGGTCCGATTGAAACTAATCAAGTAATTAGGAAGCCCACTACACTGTTAATGCTATTGTTAGAAACTAGAAAACGAATAAAAATACCCTTTTTACAAAAGAAATGTTGCAGGTGATTTCAACATTTCAGTCAAAAATATTTGTCATTATTTTGGCAAAATACTGACTTTCTCTGTGAAGAGATTAATGAAAGCATACCTCACACTGCTTTAAACCTCATTCAACACTGAGTTAAGGCAATCTGTAAGCTTGTGTAGCATCGTTGTGGACTGAAGAAAGGATATAAATTCAAAGTAATGTGGTAAAACAGTCCAATCCACAGTGGTTATTATTCCCTTTATTTCTTCTAACAGTATAAAGTTTTCAATGTGCCAGTTAGATGTGATACAAAGTTAGGTACTTCAGAATGGAGGTGATTGTTTTTTCTGGTGAAATTATACGGTTGTACTGTGCAGAGGAATAAAAGGTCAGATTTGGTCTAAAACAGCTCAGAATAGGACTGCGTTTACAAAGCAGATTCCAGTCTTCAGTCCACTGGAGTTCAGCTGTGGGATCTGGGATGAGAGAAGATTTATCCTGTGAGACCATGCCCAGAGAAATATGAATTATATATCTGTATTAGTATATGAATTAGCAGTGGTAGAATAGAGATGTATATCAAGAAAATGTGTCCTCCCTGATGTGTGTGTGGATAACACAGGTACTTAGTGTACAAACCTGGAGATGAGGGGTTGTTGTTAGGTTTGCAGTAACAAGGCAGGAGACAGTTAAAGAGGAGTGAGCCATTTGATCATGTAGAGGAAATTGCTTTGTGGTGTACAGTATAGAACTCCACTATCAATACCAATCATGATGTGTGAATGAATGATAAAGCATAAGACATTATCGTCAAAATGCATTTAACTTGGACTTCATACAGCATACGTAAAAGGAGGAGTGATAAGTCACAGTTTTGTCTCCTGTTGCTTTGTGATATGGCATGATCTAAGAACTAATTAATATTCATGCCCATAATCTACATGTATACGGTATGTGCTGTCTGGACTGATATCTAGTTCTGTCAATCTAGAGTTTCCAGCTGAGAAAGGATAAGAACAATTGAGAAATTGAGATACAATAAGATTCAGGACTTTACAAGAGGTGAAAATTCTGACTGTTGGAGCAGCTGCAGAACGGCTCTGGAGTTGAAATGACTAAGTATTTTCTGTAACTGTGCTGGTGGGTCTCTCAAGAATGACAGCGTGGAATATACCCAATTTGAATGAGCTGGTCGTCCAGAGCATGGACACGCAGCTATTCCAAAGCGGCTGTAAAAGTATGAATCACAAAAACAGAACTAAGTTCCCTTCATTCATCATGTGTAGAAAAGAACCTGTAATGAAGAGACTGATCAGAAGATAAACAAACTGCACGTTTAGATTTGGAAACGAACCACGAGATTTTAAATGTCAAAATATAAAATTTTAGCTGACCTGCGTGATTGTCAGTCACATTTGCTTCCCTGCGCGGCGCTGTGCTGAACAGTTGGATACGGGACGAGGCCCTCCAGCGAATGGTCGACTCCACAGTATAGAGAAGGCTGTACAAGGACCAGGCTTCCGGCGCAGAAGTGAGGATTCCTTGTAATTGGAGGCACAGTAATTGATCCAAGACACATAACTACAGAGCAGATGAGAGGATGCCGACACAAGGCAAAGCAACACAGGATTAAGATGTTTGTTTGCTTTCGGCAGTGATTTTTATATACGTACATTTGCAATATGTTGCGTGCGGCACCCAATCGTCTCTTGAGATTGTATTGCTTCACCTCACACCCGATGTGAGAAACACAGATGAATGTGGCTGCCAAGACTGTGGACACTGATGGGGATGATAGATGATGAGTCCAGATCTTTAGTGTTAACGAAAAGCTGCAGTTGTATGAATTTGGGAGCAATTACAAGATTTTATGGCATGATAAAGAACCAGTATTTCTTTCAGGTATCACTAATATACTAAAAAAAACACAGTTCTGTATCGCAACTGTTCATAAAGCTGTGGTCATATTTAATTCTAAAGAAAGGGGATTGGGTCAGGCTTTCAGTTACATGATTACTTTTTACCTCATTATTTTCTGTATCTTTTGTAAGCAGTGATTGTCTCTTTAGCAGGAGACTAGTAGGTGTTGTTTTAGGGATTACAGTTGCTTTTCTGTTTCAATTCCTGCAAATGTGAGATTGGATGTATATTTTGTTAAAATTGTGATTTCTTCCCCTTTTTATTTTTGAGGTGTAGGGGAGGGTGGGGTTGGTTTTCATGTGTTCTGCAAGGGTACAAGAGACAGTGACCCCTTCAGATCAGTTAGCTAATAGCTACCAGTATGCTTTAGGGAGCTGTGTGGAGTAGTGCTCAGGGCCCTGGGCTTGTATCTGGAGGGATTTGGGTTCTGATTTTGGGTTCTGATCCTGGGATGCTGTTGTTGTGCCCTTGAGCTGGATACTTCACTCAAAAATTGATCTTACTGCGCCAGTGGGTCTCCAGGTCACTGGTACAAATTTGTTCTCGACTAATTGATTGTGGTCCACATTCACACTTCAGTGGTCTTACAGTACGTGTCTCACCATGCCACTCACAAGCATCCTGGTCAGCTTTAAATAGGAAAAGAACTGAAAACGTCTGTTCATCCTCAACTGCAAAGATACTATTAATCATGTGATCATCATATTCTCTTTACATCTCAGCTAACTCACTCTCATGTTGTCCAAATGTAGCACCACTGCATCATTCTGTATGAGCAAGCTGAACTTCAATATATACACCTCAACAAGAAAAAATTTAGAAATGTATACGTCTACTACAGTTGCACAAAAAAACCCTCAGATAATTAAAGCGAGAGTTCAATCAAGTCATCAGAGCCCGTTTTCCTTCTAAAACATCACACTGATACAGTGTAATGTTTAATAGGCTATATCAACACCTAACCTGAAACAAGACACTGGATGTACTGTACCTAAGTCTGGCTAAATTATTTCTTGGTATTGTAAGTCAATAATATTTAAATCATGTGTAATAAGATTTTAAATTTATTTGAGTAAGTACTTAATCTAATTGTCTTTACAAAATCTGTATTCTGTTGCCTTTTTAGTTCTCGAATTTGGAGGAAAAGGAACAGGAGCTTGATTGCTAAGATACCATTAAATTAGGTGCATGAAGGTTAGCAATTGATCGGTATTGGAAGTTGCAACACTTGGGAACTCAATGGGAGGCTTTAGTGTTTCACTTTGGGGAAACAACAAAATAACATAGAAGAATGGGGAAGCATGTTAACATGCCTTTTCATGTACGCTCGTAAGCAAAGGTAATGCAGCATCACTGCCATCTTCTGTCCCGACCTCAGCAGATCTCAGAAGCTGAGCAAGACTGGGCCTGTCTCTACTGGCATGGGAGACCTCAAATTAAAACTAGGTTATTGCAGTGTGTTCAAGGACCAGTAGGTGGCGTTCTTCAATCTGTACCAGAAATCCAACCCCCCCCCCCGAGAAAACAATGGCACAGTATTGCTACTGGGGACACTGTGCTGTAGAAGGTGTCATCCTTTGGACGAGATATTAAACTGAGGTCTTTACATCTTGCACAATGGATATGCATTCTCCCAGAAGCCAATTACCCCACCAGTTTGTCTTTGGACTGTGGGTGGACCCACAGGAATAGCACCCCAGGAATTGAACCCTCAGCCCCATCATTGTAAATCAGCAAAGCTAACCACTGTGTAACCATTCCACCTGTAATAATAATAATAATAATAATAATAATACATTTTCTCTCACTGGAGTCATCCCACTCCTGAGACTGATATAAATATGAATATTTTAATGAAATTCGTGTAACTGAAAGCAAATAAGTTGGTGGTTACATGGAGTTTAATCTGTGGTGTTAAATAACATACAATTGATGTAATCTCACTTCTTTTTACCTAGTATTGCTTCCTGTTCGTACCCTGAAGCCACCCTGTTCTCCTTTCTTATTTATGCTTAAGACTTCCTTAAGAGTGCAGCACATTAACACTGCACTTTCATGACAGAAAACGTTCACTACCTCATTATAATTTAAGATATTTATTTTCATACCCACTGGTGGGCGTCCGTAATGCCAAAATGTGGATTGCAGTATTATTTTGGCAGTGCCTAAAATGGAGCTGTTCACAATCAATTCCACTCTGTTTGTTTTTGGGGTTTACAGAACTCAGACTGTTTTGGAACTTGTTGCTCAGCCACACAGGTCAGATGGTTTCTAGAATATCTCCTCTGTGGACAGCCACATCTCCCCGGAGCAGGCATCTCACTGTGCCTCATTGAGAAAGAAGTACACAACCACGCTCACTTAGTGAGGCACCTGTTAGTAAGCAGAGGCCTGTTACTTGGATCCTGCATTCTTTTAGGTGGTACAGAGGAACCTAAGCATCTCCTATAATGAGCAGGAAGTTCACCAGTAAAAGGCACACGATAGGCACAACAGGCATGGATAGATAGCCCCTTTCTATGATGAGAAGCATTAAAACTGCAACTAATGAATACTGGAACCAGTAGCATGTGTTGCAATTTTCAGTATATTAGAATACTCAAATACACATATATCAGTATCACTCAGGGGATGATTCTCCACTTTAATTATGAAATACATTCTGTTTTCTTGCACACAAGCTTGACTTCTTCACCACTTTATAACTGATACAAAATGCATGGTCTTGTAGCGGGCATGTGAGAGATTTAAAGACAATGCTTTAAGCTGAAAGCAAACTCTGTGGGGTATGAAATGCTGTCTGAGTGGGTGTAGTAGAGGCCGATTAGACTAGAGTTACTGGAAGGCAAACTGACACAGGAGACACTCCGCTCAGAGTTTTGGCACATGTCCACACGACTCCTTGTTGTGCTGCTTGTCAGATGAAGCGAGGGTTCCCATAAAAAAGCATTTCTTTTAAACAGCTTTTACTCAAGAGGTGTTGCCAGGATTTCCTGAAAGTCTGTTGCGACACTCCCCACAATTTATGCCACTCTACACACCCACACACAATCCCCAATATTTCTGGTTCCACTGCATGCTACTTGTTTCACACAGGCGCTAGGCTGAATATGCCACAATGAAGAACAACACAAAGTTTCAGAGTTTTCCACAAACCACAATAATTGAGTAGAAATTCCCCTTGACTTTTTGTTCATTTACAAATATGTGATTGAAATAACTGCCACACTCCTCTCCTCTCTCCAGCACATTTTAATAATACTTAATTAACCTTATCACAGCACAATCATGTAATAAGGTCTTCTTTTTTTACTCAAACTTACAGTGCCCTCTTACAGTTTCTCAAAGGGATTTGCAATGACTTTTAAATTATATTAAAATTTACCAGCTCTGAAATTTACTTAACAAGAATGTCCCTATACTTAGTCACCTGACCTCACTGGGTTGAACTCAAGAGTATGTTTTTATTCTAATATGATTAAATGTATGCATGGAATTACCCAAAAATACAGCAGATTGTACTTGTCTATCCATCCTTTTTCTAACCGCTGTATCGAATTCAGGATCGGGGGGAGCTGGAGTCTGTCTCGGTAAGCAACAGGCACAAGGCAGGGTACCCCCTGGACAGCACGCCAGTCCATCACGGAGAACACAGACACACACACTCACACCAGGGCCTGTTTTCCCAGAAGCCAATTAACCCACCAGTGTGTTTTTGGAGTGTGGGAGGAAACCGGAGCACCTGGAGAAAAGCTACGTGACCACAGGGAGAACAGAAAATCTACATGGAGTCTATTATCATTCCCATCAATTTTATTATCATAAATGGCTCAACTGCAAGGAAAAACCCATTTGGATTTTACTTGTCAAACATCAGCGTGAAAAAAGAGAACATACTTATTACTTATTACTCTCCCAAATGTTTTGACCCAGATATTTATGCAATAACTATACCCACAGTACTGTGCTCGGAAATACTCACATATTTGAGCACACGTACAGTGGAGTTCTTATTTGTTCTGCTCTCTGATACACAGTATAACAGACGACACCACACAATGTAGACAGTACATAACAAACATAAGAAATAATAACAACAGAACAATAAATATGTAGTGCTGAAAAACAACATAGTTGAGCATGCAAAAAGTGCTTAATGCAGATGTCCATTGAGTCTGAGGCCTTGTAGTTAGCTTTGAGGATGCATACCGCAGTGGGATAGAAGCTGTACTTGAGTCTAGTGGTCCTTGCTTTAATAGTGCGGTCCTGCTTGCCAGAGCACAGGGTGGAGAAGAGTCTGTGGCCAAGACGGGCTTTACCGCGACATAAGGAGGCCTCATTAGCATAGTTAATGATCATGGTGTTCTCTGCTTTGTTCTAGAGCACGGGATTACAGCTGTATCAGACTGGGAGGGACACCCTGGTTTAGGCACTGAAGTCGAGAAGTATTATAAAGCATGCTGCTTCGTACTAGTAGTCCTGAGACCCAGCAGCTGGTGAGCCCTATCCCAGAGAAGACCTGTCGTGCTCCAAGTGCTTCTGAAAGAAGCCAAATACACCTCAAAGGCTGACATGCTGTTGGTGAAGGGAAACCCTTCTTCACTGTAGCCTTTAGTGTGGCAGCTTCTTTTCACTCTGTGGAGTGCTACTCCACTGTAGGTGAAACAGGAGATGAAAAACAGTTAATGCCAGAGTCTCACTCCTGCCAGCAGAGAAAAGCACCAATATCTTGCAGCGCTTTGGGAGCCATCATTTAGAAACCGTGAAATGCGGATGTTGCAAAGGTAAAGTCACATGTCAGGACGCCATGTTTCAGGATCTGAGCCTAGCCTGTGGTTTCATACATCTTCACCAAACAAGGTGCAGGTCAGGTCCAGTGCCATTTTAGGGAAGTTGGCAGTAGCATCTTCAACCGTCCGAAAAAAAATACAGCAGCCTGTCACAAAAACAAATGCTATTATATCTGGACCATAGATCACAAAGAAGCCCCACGTTCATTTTACAGACTGGTAAGCTACAGCTGTGTGGTTTTTGTCCTTACATGAAAGATCCAGCTCCAACATTGAGAATGTCATGTTTCCAATCCTCTGGACTGAGGACTGTTTCAAGAAACATCAGGGCTTCATGGATAACATTTCTTATTAAGAAGGCAACGCAGCCAAAAAAAAAGTCAGATCTAACAATAAAGAGAGAAGTGTCTGCTAGTACTGTATGCACATTCATTTCGGTGCTTTCAATTTTGAACCAGATCACTAAAAAAAATCAAAACGTGACACACTGATCTACGAGTTCTGTTTAGGTGAGGTTTCTGAATGAGTGTGGCACTGCTCTTACAGGGACTGGCTCCACGTCACTGATCATTTATTCGTTGTTCTGATTTAATTCCTCTGTGTAGAACACGTATTCCTTTGGTCCGTCTCCTTTCAGCAGTAAATTACCAAGTGTTGCGTTTCTCAAGTCTACATGCTAATAAGGAGTAATTTATGACGAAAAGAAAAATGATATTGTTGTATAACTGTTTTTCCAGTCTGAATGACCGATGAAGTAATTCATTTTGAGGTACAGTTCTGAATCATTTGTGCCAGTGTGCAATTACAGTGCTTCATTATCTGTTGACTTAAGTCTTTTCACTACAGAGCAAGAAGATAAAAGTAGATCATTTCTGTGTTACTGCTTAAGTTTCCTATTAAGCTTCCATAGCAGTTTTGGAGCAGCTTCAGAAATTCATTTAAATTAGTTTTTAAGTACATTTATACAAAAGACATAAGGTCTTAACATCCATTTTGACAGAAAGTTAATACCTTGAAAAACTCTGTCTTTTCTACTTCAAAAGCTCACAAGAGTGGAATTTATTGTTAATCCCTGAATTCCTTGGATTTCTGTAGCACCTGTGTTCCTGGCCCTTTACTAGTTTGTGTTATTCAAGTAATTCCGATTATACTTTTCCTGCTGGATTAGTGCTTTATGAGACAGCTGGGTCCAACATCACATCTGACTACTGGAGCTTCAACATTGGAGACCAGGAAAGAGCTTTCTTTACCACTATGACTTACAACACTGAAAAGAACACAAAAAACATCCAGTGAGAACCCTCAAACCCATAGTTTATTTACATTTCAATACCTTAAGATTTACAGAACATTTCAAAGCATCCCATAAATTGAACATCCTAGAACTACATTTCAACATCAACATCTCCTACTATCATCCAATGAACATTCATTTATACTTTTTCATTTTCTGAGCTTCTTATTACCAACACCATTGAAAATAAATTTAAAACTTTTTAAATCTATTTTAAACTTATTTTAAGGTATAACAATCATCATGTTGAAGTGATTCAGAATTTATAACTGCAAAGCTAAAGATAATAAAGGCTGTCCTCTGTGCAAATAACTGACAGATGTTTTTTGTCTCTGCTGCAGACTACCTTCCAACATTACCTACATTTCAGTCCGATTCCTATACGAATTTTAATTAAATTCAAGATAATTTAATACCTGGGCTAAGAAATAGAAATTTGTTTCTAAATAGAAGTACTTCATTACCCAAGTCTGCAATTAAAAAGTGAAGAATGAACACTGTCCTCAGAACAAGAACTAATGCACTTATTTCATGGACGTAAATAGTAGTAAAAACTAAATACAAGACAACTCCTTTCCCAGCTGCTTCTACAGAAAAAAAAAGTTCTTAAGAATTTCTACTGAGAATCCAACGAATTTAAAACCTTTTGTACTTCCTCTTCAAGTGATAAAAACTGTGTACACGCATGAGTGACTGAGCACAGCCACTGTGACATACTGTACAAAAACAAAACGAGACCCGACCTTAGTGTGTGACTGCAGCTGCCCCAGAGCACCAGTGCGGAGAAGATCAGTGAATACTCCTACCACCTTCAAGGTGTCAGGACAGTTACAGGTTGTTTTACGTTTTGTAAAAGAATCCACTTACAACATTCACACTGGAGCGTCTAAAACAATGCATAAAGTTGTTTTGAATTCAGACTTCCTTTCCGTTTCAGATTCCAATGCTTCGTAAGAGGCCTGTTTGCGAGTTTGAGTGCTCCAGTCATCAGGATTCTAGAACCTGTTGTAAGACATGTTTTAAACTAACTCACTTAGGTTCGACTGTACTGTAGTTTCAGATCTGAACACAACAAACCTGTAATATGGGCCACTACCCACCCTGTATTTATCACCCACGCTGTTCACTTCTAACATTTAATCAGGTTCATTGTCATTTTCGTTTTCTTATATTTGGGGCGGGAACACTGATATAATACTCAATATTGTTAATTTACATAAGTACAGTATGTTTAAACTCCAATGTTGTGAAAAAACACCCACTCACTCCCATTAATAAAAATGGTGTAAAAAACAGTCATCACTGGGACAGGATTCTGCAACCTGTTCGTCAAGTTCGTTTTAAGATTATTCACTGTAAGCTGTCACACCGCATCCTACAAACCAATTCCAGGCTGTTGTTGCAACTTCTATATGCGGACCCAGTCAGTGTCAGGATCAAGAGCCGCTAAAGAGCTACATCAGAGACAAAACCTTCTCGGTTACTCCTCTTGCAGGGAGACTTGTCATCTCGCACATCATGTTCCGTTTCAGGCTTTTCTCCCGAAAAGCTCCGATTCCTTCATTCACAAACTGTGTGCAACCTGCTTCTCTGTAACGGTCTGGAGAACTGTTTCAGGCAAAACACTGAATGAGGGCAGTTCTGAAACTCAGAAATCGGTGTAGTGTCGATAGCGATAAACGTCATCTGACCTTTAAAGATCTGAAAGCGGATTTACAGATATTGCCCAGACGGAAAACTATCAATGAGCCCTGGAGGTGTAGAGCTGAGCAGAGAGGAAAGACCATGATAAGAGTATGAGAAAAAAGGTCTGCTGTGGGTACTTTATGAAAACACGCCAATGTCACAGCACCATATTGGAGTACCACCCAAGAACTTCAACAAGAGGGAGAACAAGAGCTTTCAGTACCGGGCAACAACGATGACTGCCGTGACTTTCTCCTCTCACGGTTTTACTAGTGTTTAACTGATCGTTAAAAAAACAGCTGCAACTAAATTATAGATTCTGGGCCTTCATAATTGTGAATTGTGTTTATAATTGTGTTAGCAAAAGAATTAATCTGTAACAGATGAGCGTGTTGGGGAGGAGGGAGAATCGGGCTGCAGAACCTGTCCGTGTAATGAGTTTTTTTTAAGCTGATTCATTTTGTTTCAAACGACTGTGGTTCCACATATTACACGACACCCTCCACACTTCCCCCCAGAAAGATCCCTTCTTCCCCAGACTACCTACAGAGTCTGCGTGCTCCTGTTCATGAGTCAGACTACACTTAATGTCAACAAATGTTACATGAAACACACTAGCAGGCTCTCAATCTTTATTCAGTTCCCTATAATGGACAACTAAGCCTAAGCTTTATTAATAAAGTTGTCAGCTAAATCACTCGTCATGATCATCATCACTCAGCTTTGTAATCAAACAGCACAATTGTGGCACAAAAGCTTAAGTCTGTACTTTTTTCCCATTTTACAAATTATTCTTGCCTTTGCTGCTCAGACACTTGAATTCAGTACAGTGCAGCTGGGTGGGTTTGAACCACAACTATGCTGTGGTTTAGCTCCCTGACAGTGACAGCTTTATTTCTGTGATGGCAAAAACAAAACAAAGAAACAAAAAAAAAGGATGCACTAAAATAACCATGCAAATTGATATTGCTGCTAAACATTAATCTAAGCACACTAAATATTGCTTTACTCTGCTATCTGCTTATATTTTTTCACAAGAAGTATTTTATAGCAATGGCATTGCTAGCTGCTGGATTATCTTCCATTTTCATTTTCATCCATGCAAGAAGCTCCTCAAAAAGAGACAGGTGCATCGCTGCCTGTACTCGCGGTATATCAAGCGATACGACTGACTTTCTGTAATGATCGTTTCATCAAGCACAGCATCTTTCTAATGTGAGAGTGTCGGACAACCGGGACATGTTTAACTGTACGCTGAGCCTTCTCAGAAAATGAATGTTGTGGTCCTTTGCATTAATTATAACCACAGCAGCTTTTTACCAAGTCAAAAATACTACCAGGAAGCGGACCGTAGGAGTGACCAATCTAAGCCACACAATACACGCTACAAACATGACCCACACATTCTGTAAAGCGCGCAGCTGGCCGGCCCTCTGACACGGGCGGCGGGACTCGAGAGTGGACGAGACGCTGCCGCACTGCCTCGGGTTCCCCAGCACGCCGAGCGGCACCTATCCATCGACCCACCTGTGGCCACTGCGCCTGTAGGCGTTGTAAGGCAGAGGGTAGACACTGGCGGCCTGGTTCATCCAACTCTGCTCCCCGTTTCTCTGTCTCTGCTGCTGCTGCTGCTCCTCGTACAGCCCCAGGAGCTTGCGCACCCCCTCCTGGTCGTCTGAAGGACTGTGGCTGTACTTCGCCCTCAGCCAGCTGCGGAACTGAGAGAGAAAGAAACGCAGGCCGTGAAGAGAGAGCTCTGCGGGCACCCGCCACAGCTCCCTGTTCTCCCCTCCGCGCAGGGATGTGCAAGAGGGCTGTGGAAGTCGGGGTTAACACCAGTTCTCCTTTCAGGTGGCATGAAGGGAACACGATTTCCTGGCAACCCGGTGCTTCAGCAGTGCCCTGGGGAAGACAGATGCTGAGCACGTGCAACGTGCCCAGACTGAAAAGTCTCGCCTTCCCTGATGCCTCACTCTTCATTGTCTTTCGGCTTTATAACACCACTACAGCCCACTGTAACTGGAACGGATGTGGAAACAGTAAATGAATATAAATACCTTGAAACTTTTACAGAGTGTAAATGATAAATTGACTTGGACCACCAATAAGGAGCCAAAGAGTTCAAAGGCACAACAAAGGCTGTGTTTTTTGAAGAAGTTAGGGAGTTTTAATGTAGAAAGCATAACTTTCTAACACTGTTTTAGAAGATTTTCAATCATTGTGTTCAGAGCTTTGTCCTTGCAGTGTTAATGGGACATATATTTTTGCATTTAAATATGTGAAATACAAAACTTTTTATGGGAAAACATACAGGAAGAACAAAAATGGAAATTGGTGGCAAGTTTTGAATTAGCTGTGGGTCATCACCACAATAGCTGAAGCCATATTACATTACCTACGTCTCAAAACCCAAAAAAGAGCAACCTGAGGCTGCCGGCCACAAAGACTACAAAACAGATATTTTGGGGGCCGCAACCACTGAAGAGGTTGACTGGGGTAGGAAAGGCCCCCCTCCTGTGGGGACTGGGGTAGGAAAGGCCCCCCTCCTGTGGGGACTGGGGTAGGAAAGGCCCCCCTCCTGTGGGGACTGGGGTAGGAAAGGCCCCGTACTGCCCTCCTCCACAAAATTATTAACGGGTGCTTTCCTAGACAGCCATCTCCACCCATGGAATAGGTTTAATATTAATGTAACATGTTTTGTTTCTATTTAGTAGCACCTGTGCAAAGAACAACAGTGTTTTCTTTTCATTTGCTACACTTGATCAGCCTGATCAATGGCAGTAGCTTGATCTCCATCCATAAAAACGACATATAGAAACATAAGAAAACTTCAGTCAGACGAGCAGTCAGGGCGTTAAGCAAGCACAGGCCGGTCTTGCTGAATGTGGGCTCAGAAGCGCGGTCCAGTTATGTCTTGACTGAGCTCTTCAGCTCTTCCTTCGAACTGGCTGCTCCGTTAGTGGAAGACTAAATTAAAGGCTGTGCTCCACCTCAACAACAGAACAAACCCCTGTATAGCCACTGATCCCTTCTAGTCTGAATTTCAGGATTTTACTGGATTGTTTATAATCTGCATTTATCACAGTCTTTTAGACCACATGTTAATACTTTCACCAGTAGTTGTGGGGGGAGAAAAAGCCAAAAAAAAACATCTCTTTGCTATTTTATGGCTTTCGAGAACGCTCCTGGAATGAATTCAAAGTGGATAACATCAGACAAGTGTGTGCTGGCCTAACAAAAAAAATGACTTTCTCTGAACGATGCAGTAATTCTACCTACAAAAGCAAAACATTGTCCACTCACAATAGGTCTCTTAATCTGAACAGCCCACTTCTTTGACAGATTCTGGCCAGATAGTCACTGGGTAGTCATAGTGAGGGGGTGTGATTTAGGCACTCTTTTCCAGGGAATTTCCACATTTATTTTGATTTTATTGTTGGCCCTCTTACAATTGATTTATTTTATAGTGCTCCAGTTGTTCTGGCTGGGCCCACGGGGAGGGGGCTGGTGATGTAAGATACAGTAATGAGCGTCGCTGTGATCCTGGCCTTACATGACCTCACAGGAGATCGGTTTAAGCGTCTAGACTCTGTTGTTGATTCAATGAGTCAATGGTATTTCCGGGATGCATTTCAATTGTCTATGGACAGCTGGACAATGGACAATTTCAGGGTCTTCTGCATTTCATCTTAATCAAATTACTTGTTTTTTAAATTGTATTCAGTTGCTACTGAATCGGCAAAGATGCTGCAACCATGAGTAAGAAGGACCCAGTGGTGTCCACTGGTTTGTTACATTTCTTGTGTAGCCCGGCATAGAGAAGATTATAGTGGAACTTATTTCTGGTTTGAAAGCCATTGACCAAGCGAACTGAGGGGACTTCATCAAGATCAGGAGTCACAGAGACCCAGAGACATAAATGAAAAAAGGAGCATTCAAGACCTGAAACAGAGACACCTTCTTAACACTGACTATTGTGGGAGACTGAGATCAACTAGTCATATGGTTGCAATTCATGTAGTTCACTCCATGGGATCCAATAAGACCCTCTCATGCTGCCAAGGTAAATAACATCTGGAAAGACAATTGTGACAGTGCCAGGTATACCTTGGTGTCATCTGTCCATACAACTTACTTCCAAAACTAAAAATGGCTCATCCTTATACTTCTGAGAAAATTCTCAGGTAGTCATTCTGGTTAGTCAGAGTGAAGAGGGTGTAATTTAGGCACAGTGGAGGTGACAGCCTAGGGCATGCCAGCCACCTCTGAAATAGGCTCACTGATCTTCACTGATGAAGTAACTAATGAGGGGAGCAGCAGAGTGAATTCAGAAGCTTACAGAAACATTTGGTCTGCTTCTGTAGAAGGAAAGGCTTCTGTACTGGGCAATGTTCACCACGCAACACTGTAGTGACCCAAAACCTATAGCCAATGCGATCGAGATCTAGGTTAATCAAAAAATGCAAAACCTCAGACTGGCCAAGTCTATCTCCAGATTTGAGTTCAACTGCTCTGCATTTTAGGATGCTGAAGAATCATCTGAGGTCTGAGGTCTGAAAACACCAAGAATAACCAGGAACTCAAAGTAGGTACAGCAAAGTCTTAGAAAAGTATCTGAAATGATTACACTGAGTTTGGTGAGCTCAGCAAGCTGCGGACTACATGCTGGTTGGTGTCTTTTGACTTGAAAAGACATGCACTAAAACTGCTGTGAAACGACTACTATTAATCTCAAACATCCTTTGGTGCAGACAATACAGATGTTAATGGAAGAGAACGGTGATGTGCACCTCACACTGCATGTCTCCCTTGGGAAAACCCTGGCAGGAATTCAACACCGAGAGCAGAGCTGTTAATTGCAGTTCTCAGTAAAACATCAGTAAATTGTTCTTGGCACTAAGCTGAAGCACTACTAGGAAAACAGCTTGGTCTTTTCCTTCCTCATCAGCTGTGTATATAACAAACACTTACTCAGACTGGTACACTCTTCTTGACTCACAATTTATGTAGAAATGTATCAATGCTGTTTTACAGGGCATTAAAGGCAACATGATGACAAACCAAACCACAGAACTCAAAATAATGAGCAGACATATGGAACTACTTAATTTTGCAAATATTTAAAATAAGCTAACAAGACTGTAGCTCCACTATGTACTCTTACCCCTCCAGGACACACCCTTATGGAACGTGTGGCAAATATGCATGCTATGTGCGCAGGTCTACCAATTTCAGCCTGCTAATTATTCCATGACGTTTGCTTTTAATGGAGTGTCTCACCATGGTCTGCTTTACCTTCGTTTTCTGCACTTTTACGGTGTTTTTTATCATATAAACCAGCGTTAACTTTTATAATACTTAATATAACCACTGTGCTGTGTAATGTTGCAAATGCTGAGATATAATGATCACATCATTGCACAAGTTGTATAAATACATACAGAGGACCTAACAAACTCGAACTCTACCAAGAGATAAAAGCAAATGAGAATGCAATATGACCACTGGACAAACAAATACCAGGACACACTGCAAAGAGAGACTTACAGTGGCTATCAAAAGTACTCACTCCCTTAAGGACTTTTTTCAAATTGTTTTGTGTTATAATATGTAATCATAATGTATGTAATCAGGATTTTTTGCTATTGATCAACACAAACTCTCCTAAATTATAAATATAAAACAGAAAATGCCTGATTGCAAAGGAATTTAGTCAATATTTGGCATAAATTAAAGCCAGGAGTCTTCTTGGATAAGTCCATCTTATCAGCTTTGCATATCTGGACATTGTATTATTTGCCCATTCTTCTCCACTTTTGCTCAAGCTCTCCTCCTGTTGGATGGGGACTGTAGGTGAACAGTAACTTTCAGGTCATGCTACAGATTCTCGACTGGATTGAGATCTGGGTTTTGACTGGGCCACTCCAGAACATTGGCTTTTTCATTTTTATGTCACTCCAGTATAGCTTTTGCTGTGTTTTGGGTCATTGCTCTATTAGAAGATGAATCTTCTCCCAAACTCCATGACTCTTGCAGACTTAAACAATTTCTCCTACAGGATTTCTCTCTACTTTGCGGCATCCATTATGTCTGTCTTCCATGCACTGAGGCATCCTCATAGCACGATACTGCCACCACCATGCTTCACAGTAGGGATGGAGTTCTCAGGATGACTCCGGTGCACAAGGTATGCTTGTGCCAAACAAAACACTTAGCACTGAGGTCACAAAGTTCAATTTTGGTCTCATTAGATCACAGAATCATCTTTCACTTGGTCTCAGACTGCGCTTTGGGTGATGAAAGAGGAGCCATCCATGACTTTGAAAGAGGTGTGATTGATGAATCATCTTTTACCATCTTCTTGACAAACGGATGATTGCACTTGGGTGCACACCTAATGAATTCTACAGGCTTGAATGCTCAGATCCAACAGTGAAGGGTTCTGTCAATTTTGTTATGATGTGGGTCACATTTTCGAGGCATGACTTGAGATCACTCATTCCCTTTAAAGGCAAGGTCAGTGCTAACTGCCACCGAATAAGACTGATTGAGCATCTCCATCCCATGCTGCAGCATTTCTGTCCTGCTCAGGGGAGTGTCTTCCAGCTTGATACGCCAACCCAAAGAGCACGCTCAGCAGTTTAATAGACTTGACACAGATGTCACCAATACTTCACGGCATTCTGAACCCAATCGAGCATTTGTGGGATATTCTGGA